GTTCATGAAGTCATTACTAGCTGTTAAAGGAATGGTTGGCTCAACAGTGCTCTGACTTTTTGTCAGCCTGGCTACAGTGCTGAGGAGAAACCAAAGCCCAATCAAGATGGTTTAGGAGCACAGAGTGAAGTCAAAGGGGCCAACAAGTGCTCAGTACTTTGTATGTTATATTTCATGAAAACTACCACATGTGCTGTAATATAAAGAGCTCTGTTCTTCTTCCAGTAGCTTCTGGAATCTTGATTTTAAATTACTTCCAGCAGATTTTTGGGCTGCTATCCCCATTTTAACATACTCATCTAATGGTATACTGCAGTGAGAGAAGGCAAAATTAGTTGAAACGAAGAAATTAAAAAATAAATTGAAGTCAAAATGTAAACTATTCATATTATGTATTATATTGTGTACTTTTTATGTCTATTATGCTGATGCTATAAAATTTATGATTCTAATTTTTATGTTTTAGTTGGCTACACCACCAGTGATCTTGTGTTCATGTGGCAGTCTGACCCAGTTCAAATGGATGAGATTGCTCTCCCACAGTTTGACATCAAACAAGAGGATATAAAATATGGAAACTGCACAAAGTACTACCAAGGAACAGGTTAGTAATCTGTAATTGAATTAAAAGTCTATGTCCAATTTCTGTAAATTGAAATTTTATTATACTATGCAGGCAAAAACTAGTCTGTGCATGTATTACTTCTAGGCTAGGCTATAGTAACCCGTTATTATCAGGTCACTCTAAGAGCTTCTTGTAAAGCCTTCAGTTTGTTTAAAATGCTGCAGCAAGAGTTCTGACAGGGACTAGAAAGAGAGATGATATTTTCTCCTAATTCCATCGCTTACTCTCAGGCTACCTGTTAAATCTAGAATTTAAAATCCTTCATAAATAAGGTCTTAAATAATCAAGTCCAATCTTATCTTAAATAAATAATAGTAGTATATTGTCACAGTAGGCCACTTCTATCAGACTGCAGAATTACCCGAGTTTCTCAAAGCAGAATGGGAGGAAGAGCCTTCAGTTATCAGGCCCCTTCTGCAGAACCAGCTTCCCTCTCTACTTTCAACATTAGGCTTAAAATTTTCCTTTTTGACAACTCTGGATCAGGTGAGCCTGAATCCTCCCATAGTTACGCTGCAATAGGCCTAGGCTCCTTGGGGCTTCCCATGATTCATTGATTGTTTCTTCTTCGCTCACCTCATTTTCGTGTTCTCTGCATTTATCTACCATTATTATTTTTAATCATTAGCAGTGATTAAACTCTATCGCTCTCTTCTGGTGTGTCTTTTGTCACTTCTACTCTCCCCTACCCCCAACCAGTGACAGAAAATGGCAAATAGTTTCTTCCTATTAAAGGCGAGTTATTTGTTCGCGTTGTCACCAAGTGATTGCTCATAGGAGTTGTCTGATTGTCTAAAAAGATAATTTGCCATTATTAACTACAATGAAAATAAGGTAGTCTGTCTCAAAGTAATGCAGAAAATATTGAATATGAACAGCTTATCTTATGTATTTAAGATCTGTGTGTTTGAGTATTTAATCATTCTCTGTTTCCAGGATACTACACCTGTGTCGAGGTTATATTTACGTTGCGACGGCAGGTCGGTTTTTACATGATGGGAGTTTACGCTCCAACACTGTTGATTGTTGTTTTGTCCTGGTTGTCATTCTGGATCAACCCTGATGCCTCAGCTGCAAGGGTGCCACTAGGTGAGTACCACATTTTGCATTCTTTGTTTGAATCACTTTACATTTAAGTAAACTGTAACCAAATGTTTGCATTTCAGCGCTGATTGATTATTTGTGTTTGCAGGTAACACAGCTGCTTCTTTATTCAAGACAGTTGGACACCTCAAAGAAAAAAAAAACATACAAATCACTTAATAATTGTTAATTTCCACTTAGGTCTTGCATTGACCATACTGGTTCATTGTCAATACCTACTGGTGCAATTAATGGAACAATGAATTACGTTCTATTACTGAGCTTCCCTTTAAAATCTCAGCTTTGAAATAGGTTTCTTGAAAACAGCAGCTGAATTCATGAAAAACACTAAGTTTATGAAAAGCATTTGTCAAGAGTTTGTTAATTTTGACAGATGATTTTCGTTTAATATTGTCACCTAAATTCTTTTACTTTTAGTATAGTTTTACTTAACCAAAAGTCATAAGATTATAGTAGATTAAATCTAAAGTTGATTCAGTTGACTAAAATATAAAGTGTAGAGGTCCCATGTCTTTCCAGTGAGAGTAGCTCCAAGGGTCAACCTTTTGCTGTGTTTTCATGAGAAACAAGGAGCATGGGAGGAAGCTGTACCATGTACTGAAAAGAAAGAAAAAGCAGATGTAGATTAAATGTCTATGTCTAACCTTAATGCACAAGGATCATTTCTAAACTTGTCTCACCTGTCTCCCCAGCTTTATCGGTTCTGATTGAATCCAGTCTCCCCAGCATATTTTCATCTGGTTTTTATTTGTTGACGAACTGTCACCAGAGTTTCTGTCCTTGTGCATTAGTTTCTATTAAGTTATTGAAAGAAAAGATTTTTGTTGATACAATTTAACTTTTATTGAGACATATAGGATAAGTAAAGTTAGTTCTTTCATAGTTTTTATCTCAGCAATGCCTGATCTCATGTTACTTTATATAAAATGGACCCCATTAAGTTCCATAAAGCTTGCCATCCAGATTTTAGAATAGAGAAATGGTATGCCATCTTTGTGTGTACATGAGGATATTCTTATTTGTTGTGGCTACGACTGTTACTGGAAGACAAACTGATAAATTTGTCATTTATCTGTGTAGAGCCATATATTTTGTTTCTTACATTTCACCTTCACAAACCTACTGTAAAGCAATACTTATCAAACCTAGTTCAGTAATCAATTGCTATGAACATGTGGTTATTTCAGCATATATAGCATGTAATTTGGGCAAATATAAAGCAAATCTGACTATGCTGGCCTTTACAGAATTGTAATTGGATTAATAAGATATGACATCAACAAATTAAATAACAAGATGCATGTCTCAGAGGGGCTTTAACCAGGCCATTTTCTGAGAAACATCCTCTTCCTGATGTTAAATTTGTTTTCAAGTCCTATTGAGAGCATTATTATACGCATGCATGAGATTTTCATTATGAATCACTAGATTCCTCGTTGCTCTGTTCCCACAAAGACAGTTTGAATATTGAATGATGAGAAAAAAGTTCTAGCTGTAACTGTAGACTGATCATTCACTTCTTAAAACTTTACCTCACTAAAACATATTTTAATACTACTGTTTCCCTCTGCTCAGATTGACATACTGATGCAGCCATACATTTAATACTGTGCTTGATAAAGGAGCATAATGTTCAATTTACAGAACTCTTAAAGAAGGCATTCAGATGTAACTGAGTTGTAGCAAATACGATGCTATATGTATATTCAATATGGTGTATTACAATGATCACTACTTTTAAAATTGAATCTCCTCTTTTTGATGTATCCAAGCAGAATTAAATGATCACAAATCTCAATTACCTGGAAATGATTATTATAAAATGGTAAAATTAACATGTTAACGTCTGTGCTTTTCTAGGTATTTTGTCAGTGCTTTCGCTATCCAGTGAGAGCATGTCCTTGGCTTCAGAGCTACCAAAGGTTTCCTATGTAAAGGCTATTGATATTTGGCTCATTGCCTGTCTGCTCTTTGGTTTTTCATCCCTTGTGGAATATGCTGTAGTCCAGGTCAGTTCTTGCAAACAACCACTCACACTGTACTGTAAAATACATCTTGCTATATATAAAATATCTGTGTACACATAGCTTAGTTGGAAAACCTACTTGGGGAACAAGCCTTGGGACAAGATAACAATAACTGCATCAGCAATTCAACAAAATATTTGCATACTATTTTGCAGTGTAGAGGTTTCTGTCAGAGTTTAGGGTCCAGATGCAGATGTGCAGAGATGGAACAAAAAGCAAGCCTTTATTTTGGCTGCCGTTTGCTGTTTTTGCATATTTCTCCATCTCTGAGTGAAGTCCCCTCACAGTCTTTTGAGACGCAGCACCAGGCTTATAGCCTGGTTTATAGCTTGGTGCTGCAGCAGACACACTGTCTATTAAACCGACCAGAATCTGTTTGTGTGTTTGCTGTTGGAGACTATCCCAGTTGCCATTGGTGAAGAGACAGGGTATACCTGGACAGATCGCCAGTCTCTAGGCTATAATAAAAATGAAATGTTTATTACTTAAATTCAAAAATAGTACCTAGGGCTAAATAAGTATATACTTCTGCCTACTCCTTTTCAAACAACTGCATGGAATGATTTTATGAAACGTTGGTGAATGTATATGTTTGAAATAAAAAAGAACTGACCTGAACTGAATTCATGTTTCCCATGGAAATAAGTTGACAGAACTTAAATGGAATCCTAGTCATGGTCAACAGTGGCTAACACAGAGCACTGCAGGCGAGCCGACATCAATTTTCTTACACTGACTACACTAAGCTTTACAGTAGCGCTTCTTCTTTGTTGCTGATTGAAAACACAGGCGCAAGCACACACACACACACACACACACACACACACAAATGAACACATTCACTTTTTTTCTCTTCAGGAAATTAAGAGAAATTAAGCTCCTGCACCATTGTTTTCCTGATTGGGTGTTCATTTATTCTTCTTTTCAATATCCCACAGAAAATAAAGGACAATTAAGCTCAACTTCAAATTCTCATCAGATTCCTCTTCTTGGACATCTCATCACAATCCACTGCACAAACATAAGGACATTTCTGTTCAAATTCAATATAACATTACATAAAAAAATTATCTGTGATTGTGGACATGAAATTGCCAGTTGACTCTTCCTCTGGGTTACCTTCTCTACATGTCTGCCAACAGGCTTATTTTAATAAATAAAAATGTACATAAACAATCATCTTCAATAGTTGACATGAAATTCAGTGGAAGAATGCTTATAAATCCCTCCCTCTTCCCTCTTTGGGATTTGCTGACCATAACCCATCTATTAGACTGTCTTTTAATCAATTTTAACTTTGTTTTATCGTTCTTCTATTGAGTCTGTTTTATCTCTTTGTTTGGTGGCATGGTTTGGTCAGACCTCTGTCACAGAGAAAAACTCACTAAATCAGATTTAGCCTCTCTGTACTCTAAACAGGTACAGAGGGTGGCTTTATCAGTTCTTTATAATGGTTGCCATGCTCTATGGGGTGAATTTCAGTGTCTTCCCTCTGGACGGAGGTTTCTAGTTACAAGATGCAGGACAAAGCATTAAAATAAAACAAAAATAAAATAAAAACAGCTTTGTCCCTGCTTCTCTCACTAAACCTAATAAGAACTGTTTTTGGTTTGAGTCATCTTGTCTATTTACCAAATATGTGTCTGTCAGGATTAAATACGTGTGTGTGTTTTGTGAAGGGATGCCATATGCTATCTTTTTTTCTGTAAAACAAATTTACCTAAAGGTATAAATACAGTAACCTTGAACCTTGGAGGGGCTGAACTGCTGATCTTTAATAATAATAATAATAATAATAATAATAATAATAATAATAATACATTTTATTTGAATGTGCCTTTCAGAACATTACATACATTTTTAACACAATGTTATCACATTCCTTTGATGTGATGTGATCATATTGCATTGACTGTATTGAGCAAAATTGTCCTTTAATTTTTGTGGAATATTGCAGCCAATAGAGATTAAACTTGGCACAGATTTACAGTAGTTGGATGACAGTAAGTTTCAGGTCAACTTTCAAGGATAATTTTTAATTTATTTTCGAATGTGCCTATGTGCTGTGTCTCAGTCCAGCTCTGTCTAGCGATTGATAGGATTTCAGCCACTTCTATCTGCCAGTGGTACATGCAGGGCCCGATCCTTCCATCATAATTCTTCTCCCTGCCTCCTCTTCTTTCTCAGGTTTCTGATGCCTGAGGTATTCACATGATCAGTTGTGGCTGTCTTTCTGATGTATTCATGGTTCTTTATTGTTTTTACCTGAATTTCTTTTTGCTTTTATTTTTTGTGGCACTCAGGCCTCTACAGCCGAAGGTTTTGTTGTCTTGATGTCAGTGGCATCACCTCCTTTGGCCAGCTGATTATCCCAACAGGGTATCTCACAACTGGCAGGGTGTAGGCGGTGATTACCTGGATCTTTTTCTCCCCATTCAGCTGACTCCTCAGCACCTACCTTCTCTCTGCAGGTATTTGGTGGTTGCGGTTTTCCTAGTGGCTTCTTCATGGTTTCCATTTGCCTGTGGGATTCCAAAGTACTTGTAGCCGTCCTCAATGTCTGCCTTCTGCTAGTGCAATCCCCACAGTTCTGACTACATTCCCTCTCTGCTTCTCCGAATGACATTTAGCTGTTGTTGCTTTATATCCTCGTGGTGTGGATGAGTGAATCGATGTCTCGCTCACCCCTGGCATACAACTTGATGTCATCCATTTAGAGGAAATGGCTAACAGTTGCTCCATTCCACTGTCAGTATCCATATTCAATCTTGTTAAAGGTTAGGGTGATGGGTTTCATGCCTATGAAGAACAGCAGGTGGGACAGAGCATCTCCTTGGTACTTGATGGTGACTTGTTCAGTTGTCTTGAATTTGGCCTATAGGTTATAGCATTGTTGTTCAAATTACAAGGACATGGATGTGAACAGCTGTCTGCCTCAGGATAACCCTGGTTTGGGCCGTACAGTTTTATACTACAACAATAACAAGTACTATTATGGGTATCTTCTTCCGGAAGCAACGTGGCAGTCCTGCGCTAAGTCAACTCTTCAATATTTCAGTCCAGACATGCCGCTGGATGAAGCTTTTGACCTTCAAACATGGAGCGCTAACTTGTTTATGAGCACACTGCATTGTGTATATAAAAACAATAAAAACAGCTTTGTTTAATCATTTTAAACCCTAACACTCTTTTTTTTTTGCCAATTCCTTTCTGGGGCCTGCTCATGTATTGAGCTATGTGTCTGATCCTCTTAGCTGCTATGCGGCCTGACAGGAGCTTCCATGTTGTGCTTTGGCAGGTTATCATTCCCTTCTGGGGATCCTTGTGGATCAGGACTGTCTGGCCTTCTGTCCTATTCTGGGTGTTTCTTATCTATTAGCAGCTAGTTCATTTGTACTGGAAGCTGCTTATGGAGTGCAGTTAGCTTCTTTAGCCAATAGGTGTGAATATATGACACGTGAAGTAGGGATGCACCGATACCGATACTGGTATCGGGGCCGATACTGTAAAATGTGTGTGTACTCATACTCGTAAAAGTTAACCGATACCATGAAC